CCCTTGCGTCTCCAAATGAACGGGACAAAGTCAGGGTCCGGAATGTATCCTGCCGGCTCCCTCCTGAACGTGAATGTGTAGCCCTTGAGCTTAACCACCACATCTGAAGCAACAAAGGCCCAGCGTCGTCCTTGTCCTTTGACAGAATCTGAGAGTTAGTCATACCCACGAGAATACGAACAACTCCACGGCGACGCAGGCTAATAAGATCCACGTCCAAGGTCTTGCCCATCAAAGTACCCACAACCCACAAGCCCCAAAAATGGCGCACCGTATGGGGAACCCCCTCGGCATGGAGCCAAATCTTCTGGAGCTCTAGCTTATGTGGGACCTCCTGAGACCTCCATGCGGTAACGCTCATCTGAGAATTAACAGACGGGACGGTCATCTGTATACCATCCACCCTGTCCAAGTCCTCGAAATACGGAAAGCTAACAAGGTATGCATCATGCCCGTGTTGAATAGCCTCCCACTTCCATTGATCATGTACCGGGCATCTCCTGGCAATCTGGCTCTCAACTATACTAGACGGTACCATTAAACCGGTAACCTGAACTCGGGCGATCGGAGACTATGTTGGTGCTAAGTGATCTTTCACCACGCAATCAGGCAACTGGACAAAGTACGTCTCCTCAGCACCAACTTCCGAAACAAAAGCATTGGGTCTAGGGAGTTTGAGAACCGGACACTGCAGCGTTGGATGAGCGATTTTTCACAAATATAACAGTAGTGTTGCACAGTGCAATCCTTCGCTGCATGCGTATCAACCACACACTTCCAGCAATGTACCCCTTTGTTAGCCTTGTACTTGGGTGCCGTATCCACCTGCACATCAGACACTGGAGCAGCCAACGGTGTGACATCGAGAGTAGCAGACCCCTGTGGCGTACTCTGCACAACCTGTTGATATTGCCCGTGCTGATATGATTGCATGTGCTGCTGCGGTATGGATTGCTGCTGAAATTGTTGTTGAACTGGCACATGCTGCGGGGGGTGATGAAAACCATGTTGCAAATCTCCACCCGCATGGTGTTGCTGCTGCTGAGGCGGCTTCTTCTTTTTTTTGCATTTTTGAGCCGGCTGAGCCACAACCCCACCGGAATGGAATAGCGGAGGGGCGGATACCCTTGTTGGCGGAACCCCGTACATGGACGGTTGCCCTCCGGCGACGGCCGTACCGTATGTCAAGGCGTACTGCCCTCCCTGGCCGTATCCAGGGGGCTGCTGCAGTGGTGGGCCATAGCTGTAGACCGGCGCCGGACCCCGCTGCTGATGTGGAGGACCGGAGTATCCCGGCGCCTGAGCCGGAGGACGCGAAGGACCGGGAGTCGGCCCCACGATCGGAGGGGCACGAGGGTTTGGCCCTCCCGAGGCTACGGCGCCACGCGCCGTCGGAGGAACGCCCGCCATGGGGCGCTCAAGCGTCGCCGCGACCGCCGCGTAGGAGCGGGCAACGACCCCGGCGCTTGGGGGTGGAGCCGGAGTTGGAGTCGGCGACTGTGCGGTGTGCAGAGGTTCGGCGGCGGACGAGGGCGACGATGAATTGAGCGATGGAGTTGCTGTGCTCGCGGTCTGCTGATTAGGGAAACCTGCCCAGATCGCCCGCATACGCAGTTTCAGAAAGGCCCAGGAAAACACTACCTGGCCCGTCTCCGTCGTTGCATGCATGGGCCCAAAGCCCGAGGCCACATGAGTTTGAATTCTCGGTGATCTCGGCCCCGAACCCGGCTCCCGAACGACCTCAGATCCCGGGGAAGTTTCGGTCGCCGGCGTACACTGCCGATTTGCCGAGGTGGGGCTCCGCCTGGCCGCGTCCAAGAACTGCCCCAGCACCGGTGGAGGCGTCACCCGACGCGCGACGGCAGGGGTCCTCGCCAAGCCCCCATACGCGGCGGCCGGGTCATCCTCAAACCGGCCGGCGTCAACACAGGCTTGCGGCCGACAAACCCCGGGGCCACCGATCCCGACGGCGACCTCGAACCTGCGATCTCCGATCCCTCTGCGTCGTCGATCCCCGATCCATCAGGAATCAAAGACTCCCTCGGCGACACCGGCGACCGATGCTCCCAGAAGCGAGACGCCGGCGTCGGGAAGCCCGCATCGTTCCAGAACTCCTGGACCAATTCCACCTCCGTTTTCTTCTTCCGGCGATCCACCGTGGTCCACTTCCCACATCCAGCATCCTCCCGAAGCACTTCTAGTGCTAGCTGCACGCCGACAGCCTGCGCTGTTGGCGCTGCCTCTCCTTGCAGCGCCGCTTCTTCTTCTACCTTGAGCTGCCTCTCACAACTCTCTCTTCTCTCAAGAGAACAAGAACACACACATGGAATGAACACACACACACACCTCACCGTGGAGGAACCAGCTTTGCTTTGTTCTCCCGGTGAGACACACATATGCTACATCTTTTCCTACCCAGCCCTCACGGCCTTCAATTCTCATTACTCGATGGAACTATTTATACACAGGAGAGTCTTACGCACGTCCTCGCTAGTCAGCACTCTCGGCCACCACACACCACGCACGCACGCACGCACCACTAACAGACTAACCACATGACTCTGTCTCTATCCCCTGAAATCGCTCCAGGATATACACAAGACCGGCCATCATGCAAACCCACGCAGGAGGCTAGCTAGCATATCGCATGCACTAACAAACTCACCGAATCTTCTCAGCTTTAGCTATTCGTCCAGCCGGCCGTCAGACTCCATCACGCGTCTTGTTGCTTCACACAACATCACCGTATCGCACGACCTTGTCGTCTCACGCAGAACTGCAGCTTCACACTGTCATCGGCATCTCGCCGTGCTCGCCGTATCACACGGCAGTCCGGCATCTCGCGTCCTTCGCGCGCCTCCGCTGAAACCTTGCCGGCTAGCTACTCCCTAAACCATCTAAGACTACATGCAAATAGCAAAACTAAATATGCGGATACATTGAATCAAAATTAGTGCTAACATGCGCATCCTCCTTGTCGGAGGACTCAATTTCCGATCCCAGGCAAGAGAACCTCGAACAAGACGAGACCTCCGTCGCCGGCGGGGGTGCCAGGGTCAGACGCCTGCCCCGCATAGTCCGCTAGACACGAAAGATTTCTTCTCAGGACCAGTAGTTGTGATTAGGCCGACTGTTAAGAAGAAATGGTTTCTCCAAGGAACTCCAGCTCGTGGAAGAGCACGCAAGTGCCAACATGACCTTTGACCCCAAAACGAGTTACTATAGAGCTAAGAACGATGCACTGGAAATTAACAGCCGTACGTGTTGCATTTCCCAGAGGTGACTGCGTACAATGTTTCTTTTCCCTGTTTCGATTCATTAAGAAAAGGAGAATTGCTTAATTAATTAACAAAAAACTGAGGGAAAACTATCACAAACCTCTAAGTGGTACACATAAAATACCCCACATACAATACTACATGAAAGGCCTCGTCAAGGTAGCACATTGACGTCATTGTCAATAATGTGACTGCTTGCTTCTTGGTTACCGGCCATTACCACTAATTTTTAAACGTAAATGTGTGTGTTGTAGAAACGTACTTAACATTTTGTGAAGCATTCCTAGAAATAAAAACAAAATAAAAATAAAAATGGTGAAGCATCTAGTTCTAAAGGCGGGTGACTCCTGGTCATGCTACCATAGCAACATTAGATAACTCGTGTTGCTCTCACCACGGGCAACCCAGAAGAAACCCTAGCCACTGTCCTTCACCTCCCCATCTCGCTCCATCTGTATCTCATCAGTGTCGAAGGGTGAGCAAAGCCCACATGGTGTTGGCAATTATAGGGCTGTTTTTCCCTCTCTAAGCATGGAGTGGCTCAAGACTGCTCGGCTGCACACGGATGAGGGTCCAATTGCAGCGACCCGCCGACATGGAGGCATAGTAGTTGAGGTGCGGTGTTCAAAGGTGTTAGAGGGATTGTTGCGTTACCAGCTATAATGAAGGTGCGGCGGCGGGCTCTCTAAGCTTGCAATGCAACACAGGATCGATGGCGTGATGGCACGGCCGTGGTGGTTAGATGTGCGTGGAACCGCGAATTTGCAGGTCGGCGGGCATCGCTTGTGGCAGCTGGCCGGATGTGGCTCGGCCACAGAGAAACTAGGATCAAGCAGGCCATGACGTCTGTGTGGCACATACGGTGACGAAGGCTTCTAGGTGACGTTGTGGTGCGCATGTCTACCGGCGAAATCTTCTTTGGCCGTTGCCTAATTCTATGGGAGCAGGCCGTAGCCTGGACGGTGATATTGGCGATTGACATGCAGGTTGTAAACCATCCTAGTGAAAACCATGATTCACCATTGGCTAGACCAGGCAACGCCGACGCCCGCATGCCATTTTCTTACTAAAGGTGTTGGCTTGAAGTTTCGCTTCGGGGGTGATTGTCCCCTGTTCGCATTTGCTTGGATCATCCAACATTGACGTGCCAACAACAATTCCATTTTCAAGGTGTTGTTTTGGAATATTGCACACTTTATATTAGCTTGTATATTGATCAATAGGTGGATTGTGCTCCACAGTCATTGAGTTTGTGGTAGGACCGAGGCCTTTGTGGCCATGTAGGTTGTTTATATGATTGCTAGGAGTTTCAGGATAGTCCCCAATCCTGCTTACTTTGCAAGGTATTTAAGCATGCCGACCGTAAACTCAAAGGCATTGCATGCGCTGCAAATATTGCATTTTAGGGTTAGTAGTGCGTGTGATGGTTTGTGGGTGAAAGAATATGAAGCGAAAAGCAATCTGTCGGTGAGAATTATTTATAATAAATAGTATGATATAAGATTTTCAAATGTTCTTAAGAGAAAAGGGAAATAAATAAGACCAACACTTCTATTTTTCATAAACAAACATTTGTACATGTACATTCCATCCACAAATAGACGCCATAGATAAGCACTTCACATCATACAAAGACTCGCCAGAAATCACACAAAGACACAACACGACCAACAGATACATGTGTAGGAGCGCGAACAAAGAGAAGACAAGTGAAGGCAGTCTTCATGGCTTAGCCTCCCGCTCAGGCAAGTGGAACTCGGGGATGGTAGGCATCTCGGGTTTTAGTGGTAGCTCCACCTTGGGAAGCTCAGGCTTGGCTGGAAGGTGCACCTCAGGGAAAGTTGGGAGCTCGGGCTTGGGTGGCAGGTACACCTCCGGGAATGTCGGCAGCTCTACCTTGGGCAGCTCAGGCTTAGGTGGCAGGTGCACCTCCAGGAATGGCGGCAGCTCGACCTTGGGCAGCGTTGGCAGCTCGGGCTGGTGCTCCTCACCTTTGGACGGAGCCATCTCCTCCTCTAGCATTCTTGCTGCGCTGCTCATGGTGACGGACGAGAGGAACAGTCCAAGGAGGAATACAACGGTGTTTCTCGAAGCCATTTTGCTGGACGCTTATGGTTGTTCTAGGCTTCTAGCTAGCTCTCGTGGTGCAATTTTGATGTGGGAGAGATAACATGTCTCATGTTCTATTTATAGAGTTCAACAATGCACACAATGTGAGGCTTTGCAACAAAGTTGGTCAACTACTGGTGTGCACTTCCAGGTTCATCTGTGCACTTTAACTTCTAGTCAAAGTTGCTTAGGATTTGGGTGAAGAGGGGCTGAGATAGTTCTCTCGGGCAGTACGGCTGCAGTTGAGGATGATGACCTAGCGATCATAAACAACCGTTAATTAGGCCAACTACTAAGACGATCAAAATGCCTTGTCAAGGAGAGATCATCAGATCGCAGAGAATACAAGCACGTACATTAGCAATGGTCGTTGCGGCTGTCAACCAGACTCTTTCCTTTTCTTTGTTCTCCCTCATCCGAGCTTGACGATCGGCGGGGCCCTGAGTGGTTATGCTATAATACTAGCACGTAAATGTTCGGTCATCATATTTTTCCTACATGTGATACGATTAGTCGAGGTAGTGAAAAATTAAATCTACATCTTGTCTAGATGAAATATAATATGTTTCATCTAACTCCCACATTGTTGGATTTTACATGGAGATTCATGGATTTTTTTTCTTTTATTTTTTGTTTGGTTAATCAATTAGTGTAGGAGTTTTCTTTTTGCAGGAAAAAATAGTATAGGAGTTAGATGAGACTTCTCTGATTCTCATATGAGAATTAACAAAAAAGAAAATCCAAATATTTGAGTTCAATATTTGATCCAAAGCAAGTTTGGTCCGCACTACCGCCTAGAGGTCCTAAAGTTGGTCGTTGCCTATTTGTCCCTATAACTTTTTTGAGCTTCAAACCCTGGCTATAGTTTGCTTGCTTGATCGCTTAACTACTGATGTGTTCACGGCACCTGGCGTCTCAGTCAATATTTTGTAGAGTTGGACACTCGTAATGCGTTGGTTTGGTTGTTGTATTATTATTTTCCTTTTGAACATTTGTGGTCGACATGTCAGTTTCATCCTATAGAACAATTTGAAAGTATTTGCCCACTGAAGTGAACACGTTCGGATGAAAGTAAAATGAAAGTTGTCTGACACCCCTCATCAACGTTGTCTATGTTGACACATGACACCCGGATCTCTGCCACATCCGCTCGCTCGATAGTAGTCATGCATGCACTAGTTGGCCACTCTAGTGACACCCTAGAGACACCCTCTGGATCACTAGTGTTCAGACCGTTGACGCAAACATAATGACTACAATTTATGGGTCCTAAAATCAGGTACTAAAGCTAGGACGACTTAAGGTTGAAGAGAAAAAGTATTTATATAATTTTATGTTTCATCGATGGGAAATGGATAGGTGAAAACGAAGCTTACGGTGAAAACTTAAAAGCACACATGCTTTTGAAATGCTCTTATGACCAAAGGGTGCGAAAGTATATTTCTCGTATATATACCAATATATTAGCACATCACTCACAACACTCGCTGGAAACAACAACTAAACAATCAGATCATCGACACAACACAGCAATAGGTACACGTACGGGCGAGGAAGAACGAAATAACAATGTTGGTAAGGGTGGTTCTCATGGCTTGACCTTCGGCTCCGAGAATTGGATCTCGGGAACAGTGGGCATCTCGGGCATCGGCGGCAACTCCACCTTCGGCATCTCCGGCTTGGGTGGCAGGTGCACCTCTGGGAACGCTGACAGCTCCACCTTGGGCAACTCCGGCTTGGGTGGCATGTGTACCTCCGGGAAAAGCGGCAGCTCCACCTTGGGCATCTCCGGTTTGGGTGGCAGGTGCACCTCAGGGACCGGCGGAAGCTCCACCTTGGGTAGCTCAGGATTAGGTGGCAGGTGCACTTCTGGGAACGGTGGCAACTCCATCTTGGGAAGCGATGGCACCTCGGGCTGGTGCTTCTCCTTGGAAGGAACGGTATCCTCTAGGATTCTGGCAGCCCCGCTCATGGCAACGCATGAGAAAAGAAGACCGAGGAGGAAAACGGCGGAGTATTTCAAATCCATAATTGCTCGACGTGTGCAGCTGCAGCACTGGCTAGCCTGGGCAGTGAGCAGTGCGGTTCGAGTGCGTGAGAGATAGCAGCTCCTACTTGCTACTTATAGGGTACAGAAGGCAGCATGCGCAGAGAGTCCGAAGCTTTGCAACAAGTTAGGTCATCTACTTGTATATATGCACTTTGTCTTGGAGTCTATTTCTGCTCAACGTTTGACTGTTTAGATTGTAGTGATACCACGTCCAGGGTAGGTATGACGGTACAATAACATATAGCTGTTAGGTCAGCTGTGAAGACCAAATGTTGTGTCCAAGGGTCCAAAAAATCTTATAACACAAGCAAGTACCTATATCATCAGCAATGCTCAAGTAAAAAAAAAAAGATAGCTTCTCATTGTGGGAGTCTACATAGGCCAGAGGCCACAGCAGCAGGACCAAATCATTAATAGTACGTTTACAAAATGATTTGAGAAAATAGAACAAATGAGGAAATTAATGAGATTAATAGAATCTTAAGCTGTTCATGGATGCTACAACATCACATTCCCCATAATCCCCTGGATTTGTACCTCCCTCTCTCTCTCTCTCTCGCACGCACTTGTACCTTCCCCATAATCTCATGGACTCTGTTACGTCTCTGATCATCAAATAAAAAATGGAAAATAATTCAGGTGGCATCACATTCCCATAATCCCCCGTGACCTTAAAAAAAGCAACATCACATTCCCATCAAACGATGATGGCATCAAATGAAACAACTATTCAGCTTGAATGTGAAGAGAACTGAATAATAGGTGCTAGCCTTTTTGTTAGAAGAAAAACATATGAGCTAATCTGAACAAGGTACATAGTGTTTTCTATGTTTACCAGGTTTGCTAAACCACCACTAATAATCAGTTGAAGAGATTACAAAAATTCTCCCCAAAAAATGGAGATGGAAAGGAAATAAATTTTGTGCAGTTATGAAACAGAACCAATCAATGAATATACTTCCTCAGCTCTCGCAAGAGGCAAAACTAAGAGATAAAATAGAAAAGCAGCACCAAAATGTGAAACGTGAATCAATATATGAATTGAAAAGCTATTTCTTTCTCTACTGCTATTTTTTCCAAAAGGAGAATTATCCCCGGCCTCTGCATCAAATGATGCATGCAACCATCTTTATTAAATTATTCAATAAAGTCGAGTGTGATGAAATAAATACAAAGATCAAACCAAACCCACCATAAAGGCGAACAAAATCGCTACACCTACAAGTATAGAGATGTGTCCTAGCTAGAGGGCACACCATCTGCACCTGCGAACGAACCCAAACAGTGCCCACCATCACAACGCTCTCACGCAATGCCTTCAGGAAGGACACATCACCTAGAACGCCGTCACCGCCCATCACAGTTAGGGTTTCACCCGAGAAGCAGTGAGGTGGGTAGAGGTATGGCGGACCCGAACGACGTCTCCAAGAAGAAAATCGGCACCTCGGGCGGCATGGTCGTCGTGGCCGGCCGAAACCGACCGAAGAAATTATACCTATATGGACTCCCACCTCCCGCTCCGTCCACAAATCGGTGACTGGCTAGGTAGCCAGCACGGCCAAGTGCTACAAGATTGGAACGCACCTAGACGGCCAAGCCCGAATAATCTTCTGGTGAAAAGTGTTGATAGAACTAGACAATGCCCCGCACGTTGCGGCGGGATTTTGTATGAAGCAAAATTTTCTCTTGTAGTAAGATAACTTTTATCAGTATTATACCAAATTTCTACATATAAGTTTAAAATTAGAGGGAAACAAAATAAAATATGCATGCATGCCTCACTTGTCCTTCATAGAGCACTCATATGAGGCTCTAAGCTGCATGCATACTTCAATGTTTTTCTTGATTAAAACACTCACAGACAGCAGTTACTACATGCACTTGCATGCATGCGCCAGTTATTACATGTGGTTGATGCAGCAGCTCTCAATGTGTAGATCGGATGCATATTATTGATTGATATAGTATATCCAACGGCTAAATTAATTTAGGTGATGTGGCTTAAGGAGAAGTGAGAGAATTCCTATAATGGGGACTAGCTATTTAGATATAGAAGAGGAATCATGCATGTCGAGCAGAGTCTAAACTGTTCAAATGTTTTTCGTTAAAAGGGAAATACATTGATGTAAACATCCATCTGTTTTGTACACGTGCGTTCCATCTAAATAGATGCAATACGCACACAAATGACTCGTCGAAAATCTAGACTAAACGACCACACGAAAGACACAACACGAGTAACTGGTACATATATGACCACAAGCAAAGAGAAGACAACTGAAAACAGTTTTCATGGCTTAGCCTCTAAAAGCTTTTACAGTACATCCAAGATATATTAGCCATCCATTTAAGTGAACGAACGCCCCAGATTGACCAATACTACAACACAGTTTGGGTAGTATATTAAGACGGTAGGGGTATTTTAGGTAGTAATCGGTTAAAACTCAGCCGGGCCAAAGGACGCGCCGAAGTAAGACGGACCAAGGAATTCTACGCAGGCGCCCCACGCTCACTACTAGGAAAAGGACTATAGGTAATATGGACATTAATGACGCACCATGTATGTGGTGCGCCACTGCGCCATTAGTGTCCTCATTACTAATGGCGCACCAGACACACGGTGCGTCATTACTAGCAATTTTTTTCCAAAACTATTAATAGCGCACCAGGGCACAGTGCGCCATTACTAGTTTTAACTAGTAACGACGCACCACACGCTCTGTGCGTCACTACTAACAAATATTTTTTACTTTTTTTTCAAAACTAGTAATGGCGCACCACAACCTCGGTGCGCCACTACTAACAATTATATATATATATATATATATATATATATATATATATATATATATATATATATATATATATATTGCAAAACTAGTAATGGCGCACCTCTAACTGGTGCGCCATTAGTAATCAGGATTACTAATGGCGCATTTTTAGGTGGTGCGCCATTAGTAACCTGAGACCAGCTAGATATTTTGGACAGCCACCTACCACACTCACTTTCCTCACTTCATTCTATCCACCCCCTCCTCCAAACTTGTCTTGGCTGCCTCCTCCTCACATCGTTTGCACCATAGATTCACCCAAATTAAGTGGTTAAATTACCTTTTTTTGATAGGTAAGTAAGGGGAAAGCTTTTTTTATGTTGTAATCTACTTTTTTCTCCCTCCAACAACGTGCACATGCACTTTTTATGGCCTAGCTAGATCTACGTATGTTTGTGGTGTTGCATATATGTTTGTGTTTGCTGGTACCGGTATTTGAAATGCGATAGTTGCCAATATTTTGCCGGAATGTTGATTCATTTCCGTTTCGGCGAGAATTTGGCACTATGCATTTTTTGGTCCTATTTTTAGGCAAAGTCATGCCAAATTTTTTCTTGGTTCTAAAATATCGTTTTGCTCTACCCCGCAGGCGACCATGGTCCGCACGATGACCGAAGACATCGTGAATATGTTTTTGAACTCCGCGAAGGCCGAGATGCTTCAAAAGAACGAGACGGAGATAAGATGTCCATGTCGAAGATGCAAGCTGAAGAGCCTTATTGCGGACCCGGATTCCGGACAGGTGTGGGACCACCTGCTCTTGCGTGGTTTCATGGATGGCTATCGATGGCAAGGTGATGAAGATGACTATGAAGTCGTCCATGGGGGCCGGGCAAGAAATAAGGAAGGGTAGCAAGACAACCACCGCGGCGAGGGCGGGCGAGAAGATGAAGAATCTCCAGGACATGATCACGACGGTGATGCTGTACACAGTCATCATGTAGAAGATGCCGGACATGATGATGAGGAAGATCAAGACGAAGGGCATGATCATGAAGATGAAGATGCCGGAGCAGACGCCGGTGGACCATCGATGGGCTGGGTGCAGGACCCTCATATTCAAGAGCTGCTTCTCAAGCAGACGGATAACGCAAGAGCTGCCGCCCGAGAGAAAGCCAAGCTGGATCAACTGGAGATAGACGCGGTTACTCCATTGTATGAAGGATCCAGGGCCGAGGATACCCGCCTCAAAGTAACGCTCATGGCTTTGGAGATGAAGGTAAAACACAAAATGACCGACGCATGCTTCGACGAGAACATGTCATTCTGGCACGAACGTCTTCCCAAGGGGAACAAGTGCCCGACCAGTTTCGAGGAGGCGAAGAAAATCGTGTGTCCTCTCGATTTACCGCACGTGAAATATCATGTGTGCATGAACAATTGCATCATTTATCGGGACGAGCACGCGGAGTCTATCATATGTCCGGTGTGCGGCATCACTCGATACAAGAAGAGGAAGAAAGCTCCTCAAAAAGTGGTGTGGTACTTTCCGATCACTCCTCGTCTGCAGCGGTATTTCGCGGACCCTAAGCTAGCAAAGCTCCTATGTTGGCACGCGGATAGGGAGGAGTAGAAGCGAGAAGATGACGGAAATGATCCGGAGATAAATAAAAAGACAAGATGCTGAGTCACCCTAAGGATGCGAGCCAGTGGCAAGCGTTGAACTTCGAACACCCAGAATTTGGGGCCGATCCAAGGAACATCGTGCCGGGCGCGAGCACCGATGGAGTCAATCTGTTTGGCAGCCAGAGAAGCACACATAGCAGCTGGCCTGTGTTTGTGTGGATGTACAACCTTCCCCCTGGTTGTGCATGAAGAGGAAGTACATTCACATGAGTATGCTAATTGAAGGGCTGAAACAACCAGGGAACAACATCAATCTGTATCTAGGGATACTGAAAGAGGAGCTAGACACGCCGTGGAAAACGCCAGCCAATACGTGGGACGCCGTAGAGAAAGAATATTTTCCTATGAGAGTCGCACTGCTCACGACGGTGCACGACTATCTCGGTTACGGATATCTCACGAGGCAGGTGGTCCACGGATTTTCTGGATGCGTCAGGTGCATGGATGACACAACGTATCGCCATCTAGATAGAGATCCCGGATCTTCGAAAACCGTGTTCATGGGACATCGAAGGTGGCTTC